AAATTTCCTGCTCCTCTGATGCTACCTGGCCTGCTGTGTTCCTCCAGCTCCACTCTGTGATATCAATGTTTCTCTATTTTATGTCATAATTTAAATAAAAATTATTTCTTTATAGAGTGCAATAATTATATTTTTGGTGTAATTTGTGTTCTCCTTTATGCAGGATATAAACAAAGGGAATCAAGACAAATTTCATGACTTTGTCTTTTTTAAATATTCCTGCACACTTTCAAACCAGAAGCCACCAGGGGGAAGAAAATGAGCTTGAAATTAAGATGGAAATATACATGCAGGTTAACTGCAAAAGTATAACCACATAGATACTAGACATCTCTCATTACAAGCCTTGGAACTACATGCACCAGCACAGTTAGACCTGTTATTACCACATATACTGACACACTTAGTAACAGCCCAAATTTTACTGTCAAAACATTAGTAAGGCTAATGCTGTTAATGGTTACTCATGTACAAATGATACAGCAATTTCACAATCAAAAATATTGCTGTCCAAGTTGTATCATTGCGCCTTTCACAAAAAAACGATTCTTTGTTCTTATGAAGGACTTGACTCAGGCAACAATGGAAGCAACACGACTTCCTGAATTTTACTCATGAAACCAGTAGCTGAGGAATCTATGTTATTTATATAAACCAATTATGTCAGCCATCTGTAACTATGGGGCTTCCACTGTTAACCAGGTAAACGTTTACTTTGTTACTTTTGTTTCAGCATTTTGCTTTCTTTATTGTCATCTTTAGTTTCTCTGCGACATTGTTGCATGTGATAAAACAAGATCCCAACCCATTTTTCTGGATGCACAGTTTGATCAGTCATTGCTTGCTCCAGTTCTTCCTTTGCCAAGAAACATTGTCAACACTTCTTTACAAGATATATATATGTTCAAATTTGTGGCGAGGCAGTGGGATAGTGCGAATGTTATTTGATGGGGCCTCAAGGATTAATCAGAAACTCTGGATTACTAGAGGTTCAAATCCTACTGTTGCAGACAGTGGAATCTGAATTCATAAAAACCTGGAGTTAAAATCTAATCTAACGGCAACCATGTAATAATTGATGTAATACCCATCTGTTTCACTAGTGCCTTTTAGGGGAGGAAATCTGCTGTCCTGAGCTGGGCTGGCTAAATGTGATTCCAGACCCATCGCAATATGGTTGACTCTCATGTGCTGTCTGAAAAGGTTGAACTCAGATCAATAATTAGGATGGTAACAAAATCTATCCCAGACAGTGTTGCCCACTTCCGAATTCACATTTTTTTTTAGAAAACAACTTTGTTTATCCATTCAAAATAAACGACTTATATTCTTTGCAAGATGAAAGACAAATCATAAGAAGACAAAACAAATTAAATTGGCAGGAGCCAATCAGATCGACTATCACAAGAACAATGTGATATATATTGTTTTGACCTTGACGATTGTAAAGAGTATCAACTGTCGTACTATAAAAATAAGTAAATGCTTAGCTATAACAATCAATGATCAGATGTCATTTTAAAATTCGCTTAATATTTACTTATAATATCTAGGATTGTCAACAAAAGAGAGAACAATTAAAGCAATAGAAAAGTGAAAAGCATTAGTGTATTATGGCCATGGACAAGGGAGAAAGCTTTAAACATTGACATTAGCATATTTTGCATCATGCCTGTGGAAGGTGGAATAGCAGAAAATATGAATTCAGTTTGAAAAATATCAAATAAAAGTGACTGCAAATCCAATCAAATCAGAGTAAAACAAAAAGCATAGCATTACTAAAATAGAAAATGACTGCAGAATTCAGAGATGCAGAGGACTTTGGTTTTCAAGTGCACGAGTCATAATAAGTTAGCTTGCTCATACAACACATAATCAGAGTGGTAATGAGATGCTATCCTTCATTACAAGAGGAATTGAACATACAAGTAAGGATGTTTTCTTCAGCTTTATAGGGCATATGGGTTAGGCCACATCTCAAATACCATGTGCAGTTTTGGTCACCATATTAAAGGATGTTAAATGCACTGTAGGTGGTTCGGAGGAGGTTCACTAGATTGACACCTGGAAACGGGAGGGCTGTCTTACGGGGCTAGGTTGGACAGGCTAGACTTGTTTTCACTGGAGTATAGAAGAGTAAGATATGATTTGATTGAAGTGTACACAATCCTGAATGATCATGACAAATTGGACATGGAAAAGATGTTTCCTGTTATGGATCAGTTGGGAACTAGGGGGCACTGCATTTTTGGGAGATAGCTTTGGATGGATGTGGAATTCAAAACACAAACAGATCAGTCATGATCCTACTGAATGGTGGAGGAGTTTGTGGCATCAAATGGTCTGCTTTTACTCCTATTGTGTCTGCCTGTATTTGTGTAGATTACTGTGAAAACCCAACTGCTTTTAGTAATGTCCTTTACTGAATGAAACCACTTGCCCTTACTTAGTCTGGCTTATATGTGACTTGAGGTCCACATCAGTGTGGGTGATTCATAACTGCTGTCTGAAGCAGCTCAGCTAAAGACTCAGTTATACCAATCTTTAATGGATAGCCTGGGATGGACAATAAATGCATTCTGATCAACGGAGTCCACATCTAATACCAATTTGATCTGGCAGTGTAAGGTATCAAAGTAAAATTATACAACATATTGTGTGGTGTAGGACACATTTCACTCACTCTGAACAGGATAGCAATGATCAGAGGTAGACTCCTTACCCTGAAGAAATGCAAGGTGACTCCAAAGGGAATCACAAATTCTTTCGAGCAGTCATTCCGCTGTAAAGAGATAAAGAATAGTAGTGAGTGTTCAATCAATGGGAATTGAAACAAAGGCAGTTGTACAAATGCTATGTTTATTAATCCCATCATCTGGAATCTACCAACTCTTGACAAGATTACAATGCAGATCGTAAGAGATCAGTGGTTCACCCTAAAAGGTATTGTACAATTAACCACAATTATTCAAATATTTCCATGATTTCATTAACGAAATGCAATTTATACAAGTGTTCAGTGTCACTCATTCACTCTACCTGTATATACATATTCATTATATTTAGATAGAATTGATGTAACGGCTGGAAATACCAGTTTGAAGGATAAAAGTCTGAGGGATAGTATTTTTTAAAACATAACACTACATAAATGTAAATTGCTGTTGTTAATATAGTAAAATGCCTCTAGGCATATTGCAGGAGCAACTTAAAACAAAACAGTACAGACCCAGGTATGGTGATATTAGGTCAGATGATGATCAACAGCTTGGTCAAAGTGCTAGGCTTAAAAATGTGTCTGGAAGGAAGTAAGTCAGGGAGAGAGAGACAGAAAGGTCTTTGGCGAGAATTCCAGAACTTGGGCCCTAGGCAACTGAAAGAATGGTCACCAACAGTGTAGCGCTTAAAATCAAGAAAGCTCCAGAGACCAGAACTAGATAAACACAGACATCTAAGAGCATTGTGGGTGTGGAAGAGATTACAGGGATAAGGAGGGGAAAGGTTGTGGAGGGATTTGAAAGCAAGGATGACTTTTAAAATCAAGATGTTGTTTAACCAGAAACCAAAATAGATCAGCAAAAATATGGTATTAAGTGAATGAAGCTTGTTGAGAGTTAGACAAAGGTAGAAGAGGTTTGGTTGAGCTCAAGCTTATAGAAGATAGAATGAGGGAGACCAGCCAGCAGTGCATAGGAGCAGTCAAGCCCAGACAGAACAAGGCATCAATGAGAGTTTCAGCAGCACAAGGCCTGGGACAGGGGCTAAAATACAGAGGTGGAAGAAGGTGGGCTTAGTGATAGAACAAAAGTTTGATTGGACGGTCACTTCAAAGTCTGATATGACACTAAGCTGGCGATCAGGTAGTTTCCCAGGAGATGGTTAGACATAGTACCTAGGGAATGGATTTTGAAAGGGGAATAAAACAATGGCTTTCATTGGAGGAAATTACTGCTCATCCAGTACAGGATGTCCAATAAGCAGTCTGCTAAATTAGGAACAGTGGACTCGGGAGAGGTGGTGGTTATGAGGTAGGTTTGGATGTCATCATTGCTTGTGTGCAAGCTATTGTTTTGATTGTACTGTTGAGAGAAAGCACACAGATGAGAAAGAGGAGTAGGCCAAGGATGAATCCCTGGGTGAAGACACCAGAGGTAATAGTCCCAAGAGGAGAGAAGCCATTGTATCCAATCCTCGAGTTATGATAAAAATGGAACCAGGTGAGTGCAGTTGCAGCCAGCTGGACAACAGTGCAAAGGTTTTTGAGGACAGTAGTTTAGCCAACCATTTCAAAGGCTGCAAACAATCAAGAAGGACAAGGAGGGAAGGTTTACCTTTATCACCGTCACACAGGAATCAATTTGTGTCTTTGACAAGAGCGATAGTACTATGGCACAAGCAGAAATCTGATTGGAGAGATTCAAACATGAAGTTTTGTGATGAATGGGTATGGATTTGGGACATACCAATATATTCAAAGGAACATGGATAGGAAAAGGGAGATCAAAGATAGGATGATTGTTTGTAGGAATGTTGAGGTCAAGAATTTTTTTTACAGTAAGGGGTGATAACAGCCAATGTAAAGGAAAGAGAACCAATACTCAAAGGGAGGGAACTGCTAATAATATCAGCTAATATGGAGATCAAGGTAGGAAGTTGGCTGGTCATCAGTTTAGGAGGAACTGGATGAAGGAGTCAGAGCTGGGTCTCGTGCACAGATAAGCTCAGAGATCATGAAGGGAGATGAGAGAAAAACAAGAAAAAAAGGCAAGATCAGGGCTAGGGCAGTGGGAGAGCTTCAGATAAGGTTATGCCAGGTGGACTAGTGACACACCACAGAAGCAGCTAAGCAGATTACATAATTTGTGTGACAAAAAAGTTCAGAAGCTCTAATACAAGCACTTGGTCCCTCATTAGCATGTTATTTATTTTCCAGTTGAGCATGAAGGACACCTGAAAATGATCTGAGACCATGATAGCCACTGATGCTGAACGGCCTGCTCCTCTCCTACAGAGCCCTGTAATACTGGTCACTGTTGCCCCTGTTTCCATGTCGAACATAGGAGCAACAACAATCAATTCCTACCCTCATGAGTGAGAACCTTTATGTTGATAACTAGAATGAAACTTATTCCTTGTGATCCTGCTAGAAATTTTTTCTTATGTAGGCAGATCAAAACGCACAAAGAAACCTATGGGACCCAAAAAGAAAAATTGTCCAGCGACAAATGATTTCTCACATTTTCGCTGAACATGGCCCATTATGTCTTTGCTGGCTATTTCGAACATTTCACCTCATGCCATTTCCTCACTCTCCCCTAAATATAGAGGTGGAAGAAGGTGGTCTTAGTGATAGTACAAATATTTGATTGGATGGTCACAAAGTCAGATATGACACTAAGCTGGTGATCAGGTAGTTTCCTAGACATAGTACCTAAGGAATGGATTTTGAAAGGAGAATAAAACAATGGCGTGCATCTTTTCCTCATGAACTCAATTGTCTCTTGAAGGTCTCAACTGAACCAGCTTTCTCCATACTCTCAGGCAGTGCATTCAAGATTTCTAACCATTCACTGCATGAGAAAGCTTTCCCTTATGTTGCCATTTATGCTGTCATGAGAATGGCAGGACACCAGGAAGACATGAAGAAGCTCAGAGGAAGAGAGGAATCTTGGGGCTCTTGTCCACAGATCCCTGACAGTACAATGGCAGGTTGATGCACCAGTTAAGAAGGCATATGGGACACTTGCCTTTATCAGTCCCAACACAGATTATAAAAGCGGGGAGGTTATGTTAGAGCTTTACTGAACTTTGGTCAGGCTACAGCTGGAGTACTGTGTGCAGTTCTGGTCAGTACAATACAGGAAGCACTGTAGGGGGTGAAGAGGAGATTCACCACCATGTTGCTTGGGACAGAGTGGTTTAGCTACAAAGACAGGCTAGATAAGCTCAGGGTGTTTTCTTTAGAGCACAGAAGACTGAAGGGTAAGCTGATTGAAGTGTGCAAGATTATGAGGGTCATGCACAGGGTGAATCAGAGGCAACTGTTCCCAATAACGTCGAGGCACACATCTAAAAGCGAAAGGCACGAGGTTTAGAAGGGATTCGAGGAAAGATTTTTTTTCACCAGCAGATGGTAGGAATCTATAACATATTGACTGGGAGGATGGTTTTTGGGCAGGAACCTCATAACCTTTAAAACATACTTGGACGAGTACTTGAGATGTCATAATACTCAAGGCTGTGAGCCAAGTGCTGGAAAGTGGGACTATTGTAGATTTTCAACAAACAAAGAACTGCAGATCTGGAAATTGGAAACAAAAACAGAAATAGCTGGAGATACTTAGCAGGTCTGGCAGCATCTGTGGAGAGAAACCAGAGTCAATGGTTCAAATCCAGTGACCCTTCTCCAGATTTTAGTGTAGTTTTAGTAGAGTTTGTCAGTGCAGACTCAATGGGCTGAAGGGCCACTTCAGTATTGTACGATTCTGTGATTCTTTTGTCGTTTACTTCAAGTTTTGTTCTTTTATTCTTATCAGCTATAGTTCATTAGCTGACCAATCTCTTGGATCTAAGTATGTTACCAAAACTGATAAGTGTTATCTCATTACCAGCACCACACTTACCAGTTCTGTATTTGTGAAGTGAAAGAATGCCTCACATTCCAAAGTTGTCGTTAGTCTGTCCTTGTGAGTCTTGAACAGCAAACCGGGAGGAAGTACCACTAGAAGTCTGAGCAAGCAGGAAAAAAAAGCAGCAGAAACTTAGCCAAAAATTAATACTGAAATCAACTGGATGCATCATTATTGCCTAAAGGCTATATCACAGGTGGTAAATGTTACTGAGATAACAAGGTGTAGAGCTGGACGAACACAGCAGGCCTAGCGGCATCGGAGGAGCAGGAGTCCTGCTCCTCTGATGCTGCATGGCCTGCTGTGTTCATCCAGCTCTACACCTTGTTATCTCAGATTCTCCAGCATCTGCAGTTCCTACTATCTCTGGTAAATGTTACTCTTCAGTTTAAAACTGGACAATGGAGAACAGAGAGGTCTTAGGCATGATCACAGGGTTTGCATAGTCAGCATCTCTCAGATGGGGCAATTGTAGATTTTTGTGTCCCTCCCCCCCATGTTCTGGAGGGTAAAACGAAGCAGGGTTCCTACTTGTGTTTCTAGCACTGTTGTGTACCCTTTGCATCAGTACCTGGTATTTATTTCTGCTACATGTGAATAGCTGTTGATGTTTTGAGTCTAGGCTGAGAGGCAATTTAGAGCTCCTCGAAATTAGGTGACATCTACAACATTGCAAGTTCACCCCAGGGTAACAAGGACGACAATTAAAGGGACAAAAACATTCTTTAAATGAAAACAAATTCATCCAAAGCCTCTCACAATTAGCTGTCCCCAGGTATTAAAGGTTGTAGGATGTGACTGTGAAGCTGATGAAGGAAACCAAGAAAACAGTTCTCAAGCAGTTAGAACTTTCAAGCTCACATATGGTTCTCAGTACTGCAATCTACTTCAATTTTTAAAACAAAATACAGCTGACTAAACAGATTTTAAAAAGAAACAAAATTATTTTAGTCTAGCTAGGTTGCTGAATCGTTAGCAAGAATGGGTTAGAAGGAGTGATGTAAAAACAAAGTGCTGGAGATCTCAGCAGGTCCGACAGCATCTGTGAGAGAGAAACAGAAATCAGGTTTCAAGTCCAAAGACACTCCTTCAGAACTGAAGAAGCAGAAAAGTGAATTGGTTTTATACGTTGGGGGAAGATCAGGGAAAAGTCAAAGGAAGTGAGAAGGACCTAGATGGAGTAAGTCTCGAGTGAGCAACAAGCAGCCCAATAGTGAGTTTCCGACCATTTGACTGAGAGTCACTAACATCACTCAGGTACAACAGTTCTCATTTAAGTTTTGACATGCAAAAATGTCACATTATGTTTGCAAAACAAGAAATAACTGGTTAAAGGTACAAATACTTGGTTACGGTTGAAGTACCCTGTATAGTTAAGTGCCTCACACAGCTCAAAGGTGCTGCTCTGAACTAGTCAGATTGCACCTTTAGTCTCCAATGATATAGTTCAACCAGTCTTTGTAAAAGTGTAGTTAATAAACCTTTTTTACATGTACTTGTATCCTATATAAAATTGTCTGTCAAATTATGGGATCATATGAAAAATAATTTATAGTCTTGATAAACAATTAGCTAGTATTAATGTTCTTGACGCTATGATTGCCTTTTCCTCTATAATGTTTTTGTTCTTACCTGATGAATACTTGTAATTCAATCTGGTGCTCTAACTTTTTGCTTAGATTTGACAATTCCAGACTTGCCACTCTTTCTTGAAACACATCCAGAAGAAAATGGCCATTTCCAAGTGATGAACTTTTATTTAGTGCCTTTGTCCATACTTTCTCCAAATCAAACACCATCTCCTGTAATTAACATTTGAGAGTTGGAATAAATAGGCCATTTTTAGGTTGGCAGACTACAGTTAGTGGCATGGCAAGGATTGGTGTTTAGGTTAAAGCTGTTCACAATCTGTATCAAAGACTTAGATGAGGGATCAAATGTAATATTTTGGTTTTGTGTGATCTGCGAACTTCAAGTGGGAATGAGTTTTTTTTTTTTAAATCAATTCATGGGAGGTGGATGCCATCGACTCAGCCAGCATTTATGGTTCATCCCTAATTGCCCTGGAGAAGGAGATGGTGAGCTGTCTTCTTGTACTGCTACAGTCCTTAGTGCATAGAGGCATTCACAGTGCAGTCAGGAAGGCAATTCTAGGATTCCGAACCAGCTACAATGAAGGAATAGTGATGTAGTTCCAAGTCAGGATGATGTGTGGCTTGGAGGGGAACTTGCAGATGGTGGTGTTCCCATATATCTGATACCCTGATCTTTCTAGATAATACAGATCGCTTTGGATAATAGAGAGCTTTGGAAGTTACCGTCAAAAGAGTCTTGATGAGTTACTGCAGTTGCATCTTTTAAATATTACAGACTTCTGCCACTGCGCATCATGGCGAAAGCAGTGAATGCTGAAAGTGATGCCAATCAAGCAGGTTCCATTGTCCTGGATGGGGTCAAGCTTCGAGTGTTGTTGGAGATGCACCTATCAGATAATCATAGAATCACAGAATTCCTACTGTGTGGAAGCAGGCTATTCGGCCCATTGAGTCCACACCAACCCTCAAAAGAGCATTTCACCCATACCCAGCTCCCAACCCTATCCTTGTAACCCTGCACCTTCCTGGACACAATGGGCAATTTAGCATGGCCAATCCACCCTAACCTCACATCTTTGGACTGTGGGAGGAAACTGGAGCACCCAGAGGAAACCCACACAGACACGGGGAGAATGTGCAAACTCCACACAGACAACTGCCCGAGGCTGGAATTGAACCTGGTGCTGTGAGGTAGCACTGCTAACCACTGAGCCACCATGCAAGCCATAATGGAGAGTAGTTTCATCACAACCTGACTAGTGCCTTATAGGTGGAGGACAGTCTTTGGGGAATAAGGAGGTGAGTTACTCACTGCAGCATTCCTAGGCTCTGACTTGCTCTTGGGAATTCAGCGATAGTAATGCCATTGAATGTCAAAGGGTGATGTCAGTGAGTCTATTTTCAGAAAGAACACTTTGAAAGAGACTGGGTACAGCATGGAAAATTGTTGCATTTACAAAGAAACCAAGCTGCTCGACTGTAGTCACTGAGTCTATAATGCTTTCAAGGGAGGTTACATGATCCAGTTTGTAGGTTTAATAAAGCTATTGGATTTGAACACAATCAGAGAGATGTACCAGCTCTAGAAGTCATAGCAATTACACCTGATCAAAATATAGTACTGTCATAATACAATTCCTGTTATCCAGGAACAATGCCTCTTCTGTAGATAATTTATTGAACTGTATCCTTGAACCCTTAATTACTACAAAGGCCTAAGACAAAACTAAGACAGGAGGATTGGCCACAGCAAAATACCTCAAACCTTATCCAGTACTATGTACTCAGAGGTAGGAAATACCACAAGGTTCCTGGGGTGATCATTTAGGAAATTACATGAATTGCCAACAAACAAAGTAAATCACCCATGTTTATTTTGTAGAAGCTTCCCCATGAGGCAACAATACTTGAACATATAACATTTAAAACAAGTGTATTACCTGCAGTCGACAAGTAATACTCTCATAGCACGATCTACTGAGTGAAGAAAGCTCTGAACACTCAGACTCTTTGCAGTACTGCCCATTAGCTCTGGAATTAACCATAAAAGTAAAACCAGAAATAAGAATACATCCTGTATCCATGAGATTATTATTTTTAAATACAACTCCTTGCCTTTTCCAGGAAAATGATAGGTGGGAAATAGCAGGAATCAAACTACACAGTTATAACATGGATGTAGAGGACAGAGTCGGGGGCCTTTTTTATGTCCATCTTGGCCATTTATAAATTAAAAGCTCTCTGGATCAAACACATGGAAGAACAATTTCTGGGAGTTTCCTTTTGCTCCAGATTTCCTCTGGGTGCATCATTTTCCTCCCACAATCCAAAGATGCGCAGGTTAGGTGGATTGGTCACTCTAAATTGCCCACGGTGTGCAGGGATGCATAGGTTAGGTGGGCTATCCATTGGAAATGCAGAATTACAGGGAATAAGATTCCAGGGATGGGGAGGGGTTGGGGATGGGTCTGGGCAGGATGCTCTTCAGAAGGTCGGTACAGACTCGACGGGCCGAATGGCCTGGTTCCGCACTACAAGGATTCAATGAAAAGTCATTGACTTGAAACACGAACTCTGTTTTTCTCTCCACAGTTGTTGCCAGACCAGAGTATTTCTAGTGCTTTTGATTTTGGTTTTGATTTTGGTTACCAGCTTCCCTGGTATTTTGTCTTTTCCCTCAGGGGATAATAACATTCGACATTGAGGATTGGCCTGTAGGCAAGTTTTTGATTTGATTAACTGAGGGTAAAGGAGAAATTGAAAAGGAAAAAAAAAATTTGTGATTGCATTTAGTGAAGCCACATTTTGAACGCACAGCAATCAGTTGACAAGTATGTTGAAAATGTACCTTTTATGAAAATCCATTAATGCATTGATGATAATCCTACAGGCAGTCTCTAAATCCCCTCCACATCCTCCCTCAGAAAGGGGACATGGCAAATAAAGTTGGTAACAGGCCCAGTGCTGATAATCTTGTCTGCAATTGAATCAGAGAATATACCATGATTACCACCTCATTCAAATAAGTCCACAGTACTTGACTGGCACAGGACAAGGCAAACACAGCCATCATAGTGTATCAAATTCTGCAAATATAAAGTTACTTGAATATTTAACAAATCATTGGAAATTAACTGTAACATGAAAGTGGATGATGTCTGAAATCTTTGACCACTGTAAAATTAAACATAAGTAGTAAGCCAACTAAAATGGGCAGGTTTTGTTTGAAGAACTATCTATGTTTCCACTTTCTTATTGAGGGCATAGAATACGTAAAGGATAACACATTTTCATCTATTGTTTCTGGTCGGAGAAGTTCTATTGCCCTTCAGTGGTCCTCTCCTTTCCAAAACGGGACATAGATATTTGTTTTGGCTGATGGTGAAAAGGGTGGGATCAGATGTCTGTTACAAAATTAAAAACGGAAGAACTACGGATGCTGTAAATCAGGGACAAAAACTAGGTTGCTGGAAAAGCTCAGCAGGTCTAGCAGCATCTGTGAAGGAAACGTTAACTC